TATAACGCACTCCCACAGCAGTGCTTACTTTTAATTACCTGGTGTTAACCATAAGCCTAAAGTCTTCAACATTCAATTTATTTAATCACATCTTTTGTTGACAATACTCTAACTGCAAGCTGCAAGTATTCCCTTAATAGCTTTAAAGTATTTGGTTTCTAAACAGAGTTACTTAGGTACTTTATCCGAATAAATATATTTAAAAGTGGAAATTATGTAATTGTACTGTTTTAAAATGTAATTTTGTTATTTCAAAAGGAGATAAAACAAAATGAAATAGGTTCCGTTTTACTTCAATGACTATCATGTGAGGGCAAACAGTGTTGCCAATTAAATCAACTTCTCTTGTGCTAGGCACGGCTTATTCAATGGACTTGAGGGTAGCTGGTGTCACATCATTATAAGGGTGACTGCCAATGTTAACTATACACTAAAAAATAGAAGCAACAGCCACCTGAGCCCCCAATCCAAAATGGTGTGCTTAAATCATCGTAGCTTATATCAGATGAAGATTATTGACTTAAGGGGAAGTAGCTATGACCTCTGCGCATGTGTGTGAGCGCATGAGTATGTGCATACATGTGTGTTGGTGGTGTGTTCAGAAAACAATACAAAATATAGTTTGCATTTCTCCCACTCTAGGCAGAAATTTACAACCCTATTGTTTATCCTCTGGCAACCTGTTTGTGTGAGGAGAGGAGAAACTGGAGAATTTTCATATTTATGCACGAAAGAAAGAGCTGCAACTATGTAGTTTATTTATATAATTGATAAGTTCAGATAGGAGCATCATAAAATATTTTTAAAAGTGAAAATGCTTAGGAGCTGGGGATTTAGCTCAGTGGTTCTGCCACCTGCCAAGTGAAAGGATCCAAGTTCAATCCCCAGCACCAAAAAATCAAAAAGAAAAAAAAAAGTGAAAATGCTTTTACTATAATCAAAATTTCAGATATATCTACGTTATGACCTAAAAATTTCATTCCAAAGAATTTTCCCTCAAAAACTTAAATCCACAAAAAAGTATGAATTATGTTCATACACTTGACTTCTAAAACATAAATTTTATATGGTGATAAACATATAATAAAATACTGTTCAGCAATAAAATGATTGAACTTCTGCCACACAACATGGATGAATCTCAAAAGCATCACACTGAATGAATCAGGAAGCCTTATGGTAAAGTACTATGTGCTTCCCTTTAGAAAAAGTTCTGTAACAGGCAAACGTAATCAATAGAAAAATCAGAATAACAACTGCCTTTGGTGAGCAGAGACATGAATTGGCTGGGAAGGAGGAAATTTCAAGAATAATGACTTCTTGATGGGCATTTTATGTTATGAAGTTCATGAGTTTGTCAAAACTCATCAAATGGCATGCCAGGGCCAGGGATTTAGCTCAACCGTTCCGCTTCCTGCCTCACAAGGGCAAGGTCCCAAGTTCAATCCCCAGTAATCCCCCCCAGAAAGATATTAAATTACATATAAATAATCATTAAATTATTAAAATTTGCTTAAAAATGAAAAAGTCAATTCTTTATGTAATAAGTAGATAAAAGAAATAAAATAACGAATTTCTAAATTTATTGACTGATTCAAATCATTTCTGGGGAAGCAACAATAATGTTTTGGATTTGGGCCACAAAAAAGCAAAGAAAATTCAAAATCATAATAATCAAATTAAAAGGGCAATGAGTAGATTTTGGTACATATGTATTCTCTTTTACCAACTACTTCATTATTATTATAAAGTTCTCATGAAAGACTAAAAATCTTCAACAGAAGGGATCTTTAACTTATCTTTAACGTACTTACCATGTTCATCTTGTATATATGTGTATATTGAAACTAGTAATGCATGTTCTACAGATGAAACAGTAAGTCTAGAAATTAAAATTTACCAGTACTAAGTAAGACTCATCACTGCAGAACTAAGCATTTTGCTTTATCTTTCTATAAAATGCTTTGGAAAATACAAACAAAACACACGTGCATTAGACCAAACTTTAGCCTATATGCCAAACAATATGCAAGAGGTATTTCTGCCATCTTTCTCAGACTACATCTTAAGTTTCTTTT